TGACAGTTAAATTCTTTTCAATATAATTCAATTCCTTATTACTAATTCCATTTAATGTATCATTCAATGTTAATTTTGATGGTGATATCAATATTTTACCTAATATTGTATCAAACACATTGACTAATCCTGTGCCTTGTTGTAAAACTGGTGAGACAACAGTTCCGGATGGAAATTTGAGTGGTCTAGCATAATTCATGAATGCATTTCTCACATCTAAAGTTGGTTGTTTTATACCAGTTGCTGATAAATATAATGCAACACATCCTGCTATATATGGTGTTGCCTGTTTTATTTTAGAAATTTTACAAGTTTAGAGGTTTTAAAATTTGATTGGTGACGATTAAATATTTAAAGGTTTTAATTACCATGCTTGTTCCTGAATTTAAAGAATAACTACCAAGAGGTAAAGGATATGTAGAAAACATTACTCCACCAGGTGCAACAATTTCCTATTTCATTAAAATAAAAATGATAAATATATTTTTTTTAAAAAACTTTTTTTTTTTAAAAATAAAAAATAAAAAATTTAATTAAAATTTTACTCACTGGCTAATTAAAGAAACATAAACATATACATAAATATATATGTAATATTAGTAAATTATATATATATAAATTTTATTATTAATTAAAATTTATCAATATTTACCTTAATATCTAGAGTAGGAGTTAATCCCCAAGAACTAAAATATGAAATTACTGAACCAAAACTATTTTCTATAATATAACCTTTTTTATCAGAAAAATCTAAAGTCAATGGTTTATTAGTCACTGCTCTGTCTAACAATAGTTGAGCTTCAGTTGATATAATATATGCAACTGGATATTTAACATCATCTTGACGTGGACTAGCTAAGGCAGGTCCTGTAGTTAGATTATTAATAACAAGAGCACCCACAACTTTAGCTATTTGTAGATCTGTATACTATTTTTTTTTTTTAATAATCAAAATTAAATATTAAATAATTAATAAATAATAATTGATTTCTTGCTATAGAAAAAAATTTTTGATTTTGAAATTAATTACCAGTTGTGATATAATACATTGATTAATTTTTGCAGCATAAATATTTAGAATTACTACTTTTCCTGCTAAAGTTTGAGCAGGGACATCTTTACAATTGTTTGAACTATCAAAGATTACTGTTTCTCCTTGATTAATATTAAAAGGTCTAGCACTACTTGAAATATAATCTATATTAAAGAAACAACACATGAATTAGTATAATATCATTTTCAAATCATATTATTTAAAACATAATTTTTTTACCAATTATAAATGAAGAATCTTTAATATCAGTTGCCCGGTAAACGAGAAAATTTTTAGCATCCATTGATGCAACAGAAATGGTGCCATAACCAATTGCAGGTATACCAGAATCCCAGATACCACGAATTCCTTCATTACCATTGGCAGCTATAACATTGATTCCTCGATTTGCAATTGAATCTGCCAAAACAGACATTGAAGTTTCTGCCCATCCTTCACCTCCCTAATAATAAGCAAATAATTTGTTAAATGACAAAATCAATAAATATTTACATTTATTTATAAGATAAACAAGTAAACTTACTAAAGATAAATTTATTATGTCCATTTGATCAGTTGCAGCTGCTTCTAATGCAGCCATTATATTGTCAGCACTCCCTGAACCCACACAATTCAAGGCTCTATAAACACCAAAAGTGACATTAGGAGCAACTCCCATAAATCCAGTTACTAGACTGTCATTAGCACCTATCAAACCAGCAACATGTGTACCATGACCATTACAAATATCAAGTGGATCACTAGCATTAAGGTTGGTTAAATCTAAAACAAAATTATGTCCATATGCCACTCTACATCCTGTTCCAAAACAGCCGCCAAGTGCTGGATGCCTGTAATCAATTCCTAAACAAAATCATAATTATTAATTATTTTTTTTTTTAAAAAATAAAAATTTTTTTTTTTTTTTTTACCTGAATCAACAATTCCAACTTTAATCCCAGTTCCAAAACTCAAAAACTCATTTTGTACACGATCAACACCAGTGACTTTATGTATCTCATTTATATTATTATTAGGAGCAAATTGGATTGTGTCATTGGTAATGTAATCACGTTTTTCAAGTTCATCATCATCAACATAACCAGGCGCGGGTGTTAGATTAAGATTCTATGCAAATTTTTTCACATTAAAAAATCTTAACTATACACATATATGCATACATACAATACAAGATAATATATATAAATACATACTACAGGTTCAATATATGATACAACTGATATATCGGCAACCTTTTTCAAGCTATCAAGTCCACCAGGCAATGTCAACGATATGCCGTTAACATAATCAAAGAATTCATGACGAACAGTGAAATTTATACCTTTTTGATTTAATTCTTTAAAAAATTCTTTGTGTTCGGCAATTATTATATTAGAATTGTTATTATTATTACTATTATTATTATTAGGAATAGTTTTTAAACATACATAATAAGCATCTTTTAGGACAGGTAATGTTGCAGGTCCTGCTTTTATTATGCCAGAAATTACAACATGAATGTAAATAATTTGTATAAGAAGGAAAAAAACTATCAAAAAAATGGGAAGCTTCATAATTATAGTAGTATGCGAGAGTTGATATTAATACTGGAATTGTTCTAAAATTTAATGTGTTCATTATAAATAATTTAACGGTACTTCATTCATTGTATTATTTCTATTTTTATTTATTAAAATGGTTGTTTATATTTTGTGGTCCTGTTTGTGCGTGAAATAAACGTAACTTTTAGGCAGCCACGTATAAATAGAATTGTTCAACAACGCAAACTTGTGTCACAATCTACCTATTATTGTATCGATGGGTTACCACAAGCACGCAAATAAATATGTTGTGAGGTGTAGTGTCTTAGACTATCGCATGCAATCTATCTATTATTGTATTGTTGGATTACGTTTAGACTACCACAAGCACGTAAATAAATATGTTGTGATGCGTAACTTTTAGACTACGTACCACATGTAAATGATTTTTAAATTGTGATACAATAAAATTTCCACAATAAAATTTCACACAGTATACGTATTACACGTTTGCATACTTTTTTTTTTTTAAACAATAAATTACGCGTTTGCATACTTTTACCCATTACTAAAAATAACTAAAAATAACACACGGGAAAATAAAATAATACTATGGATAGAAGTAACACTATAAATGAGACTTCCGAAGAACGTCGACGAAGACTTAATCGTGAACGACAACAGCGTTATCGTAAAAACAAAAGAAATACGGGACTTGACCACTCAGGAGAGAAGAGGATACGTATACAAGATGAAGTTAGTAACGCTATAGATGAAACTTCTGAAGAACGTCAACGAAGACTTAATCGTGAACGACAACAACGTTATTATCATAAAAACAAAAGAAATATGGATTCTGAAGACTCATATCGGAAGATAACGTGACTATCCGCGCTGAACAAGAAGTAGTTATTCATCTGACTACTGTTCCGCTAAAAACATTAAAAGCACGTATTTATCCATGGTCTTCGCAAGGTTTAGACCGTCACTCTCTGGGAAGCATGAATCATAGATGTAATTGTTGTGGGGCGCTGTTGTGGATAGATGAAAGAACAGGCACATCCACACGATCACCAGTTTTCACAACATGTTGTGCCAAAGGCAAGGTTTTTCTTCCTCCTATTGAGGAATTACCATATCCTCTCAACATTCTTCTTACTAGAACAGATCCAAGTGCACGTTCATTTAGGAAAAATATTAGGTCGTATAATTCAGCTTTGGCTTTTACATCTATGGGTGCAAAGGTTGATCATAGCATAACAGGAACAAGTGGCATTTACAGCTTTCGTGTTCATGGTAAAATATATCATGGCATAGGCACAATACTTCCTGACAATGAAGCTCACCCTCAGTTTGCTCAAATATATGTGTAAGGATACCGGCTGCAACTTTTGATGATGGTTGCTACCATCTTTGCGTCATATAAAAACAATTGCAACCACTGGTTGCAACCACCTTTACAACCATTTTGTTTCCTTTTTTGGATTGCGACATGGAACACTATATATGTGTATGATACTGAGCATGAATTGCAAAACAGAATGAATGTAATGCCTAATCTTGATCCAGTTATTCTTGAGGAGCTTCAGCAAATGTTACATGATGTGAACCCATATTGTGAAATGTTCAAACAAGCTGGAGACATTGTAAGATTAAATCCATCCTTGGACTTGCGAATGGCAATCATAGATAGTAGAAAACAAGATTCTAGACGTTACAATACTCCAACAACATCAGAAGTTGCAGTTATTATGATTGGAGATGGACAAGAAGCTGAACCATTGGAACGAAATATTTGTTTACCCTGAAGTGTTACGATAGGATAATTTGTGAGGTACATATGTAATTAATTATATTTTTCATTAGTTTTTGATTATTCTCTAACTTTGATGATAATAATAAATGTGACATTTTGTAGTCATGAAATCAAATTTTAACAAAATTATGTCAATCAAAACTGTTATTTTTCAAATCTATACATATTTATAATAAATGCAACCAAACACAATATTACATGATTCATGTCATGTGATCGTGATGTTTTATTAATATTAATTAATTGTTTCTCAATCTTATGATTGATCTTATTAATCTTTCTTAACAAATTTTATCTTACGATTTTACATGATCCATGCGTGGTTATCTTTCTTACCTATTTTTATCTTATGTTCTTACATGATCGAGATATTTTATAATTAATTTACGATCTTACAAGATTCATGTGATTGAGATGTTTATTAATTAAATGTTGGCTCTTTTTATCTTATGTCCTTACATGATCCATGTGTAATTATATTTAACATTAACACAGTAATATTAAGGATCTCTAAATGAATTGGGTCGAATCGAATCATAATTCGAATCGTAATTCGAATTTAAAAAACTCGATTAATCCTTGACCTGTGTTTAAAATACATGTAATTGTGTTGTATTTTACTTGTAGAGTAACTTTTTGAGTATTCCGTGGTCAAAATCTGACAATTTCTTGCCAATATCCAAATAAAAAACATTCGTTGACCAAGCCAACAAAATCATCTTTTGATTTGAAAGCTCGTAATAATAACTGCTGCATCTTCCATTTCTTTTTACATAATGAATTTAATATTAATATGCTAATTAAACTACTGCTTATCTACTTTCCGTTCACACACCTGGTTGAATTGATCCTTGTTTCAAAAAAGCTTGTTAGCAAATCTTTATCATCTTTGTAAAGAGATTTCTTTTGTCCGATTCATTTGTCTAATAGTGTCTTAAAATTTTTCTATATAATAATAATCTCTTATTTTTATATATAAAAGATCGCACATGAATGAAGATATCCAACTATTCAAATTCTGACAGTTAAAATTAGCAAAAAAAAACTTCTTTCTCTAATAGAAGGAATGTATTTGCTTATTGAGCGAAACCAAAGAAGTGTCAATATTTTCGTTCGTCAACAGTGGAGATTTTTGAAAATTTTTTTATTTTAGTAATTGAAACCCCATTCTTCGGCTACTACCTGCTTACCTAATTAAAAATTTTCGGGAGCATCTATTTCGATAGACATCCAAAAATTTTCTTGCAAAAAGATAATTATCGACACTTTGAGAACAAAAAAAAACTTTTCATGCTTGGAATAAAATATCTTCTCAATGAGCCGGTAGAGAAAGATATTTCACACCAAGAGCTAGTTCTATTACCCTTGCACCCTTGATTGCTACTTGCAAAGTCATATATAAAATGGCCAATAAAATTATGAATATTATTTATTAATTGATTAAATTCTATTAATAAAATAATTAAAAGAAGGTGAAATATAAAGTTGACAAGAACTGACAAAAAAGAATTGCATTTGAGGTGTTTTTGCAACTTTAAAGTAGGGTTGTGTTGGTCCGGTCCCAAAATACCGGTCTTTATATGCGGTCTTTGCGACCAGTTAAGGATTGTTTAAGACTAACTCAATAGTGAACTACATATTGTGAAGGTAGCTTTTTGGCCAATATTGATTATTTTACATTTTATGGCCGAGTTTGAGTTAACTTTTTAGCTACACTCATCAATTAATTTATTTTACGAATTTATTTACAATTATACTTTGCTTCCCGAGGACATCATAAAAAACCAATCATCAACTAAATCATTGTTTCATTTGTTGTAGCTATTGCTACTGCCTCCATTTCTGCTGTTCTTTCTATTACTATAACTTATGCAATGGCAATTGTTTTGCCAAAAACCTAATACGTAATAATCACAAAATTGATTATGAAATTAATTTCGTAATTAATTAATTACAATAATTATTATGAAAATGAGATAGTTGACATAAAAAAATTTACATTTTTAAGTTCACTGAATCTTGAAAAATATGTTTATTTCAGTGTTGGCAATGTCGGTTAAATAACTGGTTCCAATAAAATTATATCACATGACAAACAATTCAAATAAAAATCAAAATTTATTATATTACTGCTGGAAGTGTTTTCTGTAAAATATTTGAATTATTATTATTATCTTCAAATATATCAAATTCTTCATCTGTCATTTCAACCCAACTTGATATCAACATTTCTACCAATTGATTAATCTTCAAGGTCATAACAATCATCATAACAATCATCATTGTAATCATCAAATGGTAAAGTATTCTCGGAATGATAATGATCAAAAAAATTTTGCAGTTCTTTGATTTTTTTTTTTGTTCATAGATTAATTTAGCTTTGATTTGAGACATTACCAAAACTTTTTTATACTGAAAAAAAATATTAATCAATTTGATAATAATATTATTGTAAATAAACAGTAATAATAAAATATTAGCACAAAAAAAAATTCAAACTTAAACTTACATTCAATCTATTTCTTTTATTAAATAAAAGAAATAGCGAAGAAAATATAATCACAGGAAGAGAAAAAAGAACTTGTTATGAGGTTAGAATTTAGGTCCGCATTTGTTGTTATCATGTGTGATATATTATTTTATTCATTCTATTTGTTATATTATAATTTTTTGACAAGGTTTCACTAACTCCAGTAAACATGGAATGGAAACAATGACAGAATCTTTGATCACATCACCTAATAAACCAGTAATCTCAATCATTATATAAAGACTCATATCGTCTTGCATTTGATGCAACAATGATATATATCAAAAAATCACTTGATAACAATACATATCAAGAAATAGAGAAATTCAACCGAAAAATAATTTTATTTTGAAAAAATTGAATCAGATCATCAAAATAAAATTTTCTCGCGTCAAATAAATTCATCTAATTAATTAAATTTAAAATCGAAGAAGAGCCTTCACTCACTATAATAGGAGAAAGTAATAATACAATAATGAGAAGGGAGGAGTCTTCTAGTGCTCATATTTTGAAGAAAAGAAAGGTAAAAAGAAGTCAAGTTGGATATGGAACTTAATGGAAGAAACTGAAATTGTAAAGGATGGAGAAAAATCTAAAGGAGTTATTTGTCAAGTTAACATCTCTGAAGTTTCTGATATTATTGTTCATTGTAATGTTGTAGTACGTGGTGGTGAATCTACATCTAACTATATTATACACTTATTATCTGCTCATGGTATAACAAAAGAAAATTTCCAAAATAAATTGAACAATCAGTTTAAAGTAAGTAAAAAACAAAATTTTTTTTATATATATATAACAAATTTTTTTCAATTTATTATAATTTTCATTGTAGGACACTTCTAAAACAATCACTAAAATGTTTGAAAATCACCAACCACATACAAGCCAAAAACAAGAACAACTTGAAAAGGCCTTGGTTTTTTTTATAATTAATGACCTACAACCACTAAATATCTTGAAATCAGAGTCTTTCAAAAATTTTATCAAATTGCTAGATCCTCGATTTACAATTCCACAATCAAAAAAAGTAAAATCATGGATTTCCAATGCCTATACAAATTCTTTAAATAAATTAAACCATGATTTGTCTGTTGCTAAATATATTTCTTGCACCACAGACTTGTGGACTGCAAGAAATAAGCAAGGTTACCTAGGAATAACATGTGCTTGGGTAGATCCAGATTTTAATTTAAATGAAAAGTTGTTAGCTCTAAAATATATTCCATCTCATACTTCACTAGCTATTAGTCAAAAATTAATTGATATTTTTAGTGAATTTGATATAAATGATAAAATTATTTCCATCACAACAGAAAATGGAAGAAATATGGTCTCTGCTTTTAAAGTGAGTTTTAATTTTATTACAAGTTTATTATAGAATGAACATTGATTAATACAATTTCATTTACAGTTTTTGCCAAATATTGCAAGATATGGTTGCTCAGCTCATACTATACAACTTGTGATTGGTAAATCTTTAATTCCTTGTCAAGTTTTTTTGGCAAGATCTAAAAGGTTAATAAATTTTTTCATGTCACCAAAACAGAATGAATTATTATTAAAGGCTCAAAAATTAAACAATTGTGATAATGATTGTGATATTGATGATGTTGATATTAATGCTCAGACTATCCAAAACAACAACAACTATTTAAGTGCAATTGGAGATGTTCCAACTCGTTGGAACTCTTCTTATCTGGCTTGGGAAAGGATTTATAATTTGAAAGATGCAATTTATACAGCTTTAAATACTATATTAAGAAATAAAAAAGATTCTCAATCAAAAAAAGATTACAATCGATTAAAAAAAATTATGTTGCAAGAAGAAGAATGGGATTTCATGTTAGAGATGATAGGTGTATTGGGCCCATTTTATGAATTTACTCAGATTTTGGGTGCCAGTGATTATGTTACCATTAACCTTGTGTATCCTTTGATAAATACATTGAAGGAAGAATGCAAAAACACAACAAATAATGTTTATGATTACGAGGTGGATTTTGAGTCAACTGATGATGTTTTTGATGTTGTGTATGAAGAAGAAGGTGAGGAAAATGATGATGTTGGTAAAATTGGTAAAAGGAAAATGAAAATAAATCAACCACAAGATATGTTTGGTTTAACTGGTGCAATAAAATCATTGTTATATAAATATTTAAATTATTATTGGAAACCTCCAACAGCAGAAGAATTGTTAGTATTTTCCTTTAGATAAAGTTAAAGAAAATATCCTGACTTTCGATATCTTATTGATGACAATCTAATAATAATAAAAAAGACAGTTACAATGTTATTATTACTGATAAAAATAAGATTTACATTATTCCTAATTACGAATGTAATCATAGCATGTCATTAAAAGAATTAAAAGGAAAAAATAAATTAATATTGTAATAAGATTATTTTTCCTTCTAAGGGTTTCTGCTCTTTTTGTTGGATATTAGCACATCTTCATTCTG